GTGCTGGATAAGTTGGCGGTTTATTCCGTTATGGCGACCCCGGATTAATAAAGGGACTAAGCCGACAAGAAAATGAATGAATGATCCTCTCTGCTTCAGTTCTGCCCCCTACAACATGCAGTCATTAATTACATTAAGAATGTGTCCACTATAGTGAACATTTAAAAAAAGGATGAAATTTTTAAATACAAACAAATTTACAGCTTTAAAAGCTAACTGTATTGTTCCTGACACTTTAATAAACAAATATATATGTAATAATAATAGTAAAAACCATTTAAAAAGCTACATTTTACCTCTCCCCCTTCCATAAAATGTGCTTTTTTGTATGTCAGCCATTTTGGGTGCAGTGTAAGAAGTGGTTCCTAGCATGCCAGCCAATCAAATGACATATCACTAGAAAGCCCAGGATGTCCTCTGAACAGTACAACAGGACTTGACAGAGAAGCTCAACAGATTCAAAGAAAATTCATGAAAACACAATGTTCACTACAGAGGACACAAGTCAATGAGCGGGGTCTCAGGAGGATATAAGTGGTAATATTTTCATAAACTTCTTAAATACATGTAATCTTATATTTTTTTACATTGTATTTAAATAATAAGACAATACAGGGCTGACAAATCAAATGAACGTAATAAATCAACAAAAACCCAGAGCAGAATTTTCTTACCCCTTGGTTTCGAGTGTGTTCCTGAAAAATTTCGGTTTGAAGGAGTATCTAGCCCTTTCCCTTAGCCCTACGCCTTTAAGCTAAAGAGAATTGGGACACCTCTACCCCTTCACATGAACGCGCAAAATGAGGGGTAGGGGTAAGGGCTAAGGGGTGGAGTTTAAGGGGATTGGGCCTTAAGCCTGGTTTATACTTCTGCGTCAAGTGACCGGCGTAACCCACAGCGCATGCAACGCCCGTAGCTGTGCATTTATACTTCTGCGCGCTGTCTCTGTTGGTCTGCATTAACACTTCGCTAGTTGGCAGTGAGGTGTAAATGTTCCTCTGTGTCGAGTTTCTTTGCTGCTGTTTTGTTTTACTGAACACTTCCTGGACGTACAAGTGGCTCAAACTCGCTTATTTTAAGGCAGGAACCGGCGGACGTGCAACAACTTTAACTATGAGGTAAACACAAAACAAAACTTTCCATCCGGAGCTCCTTCACGGGACTCCACACTTGTAAACAATCGATCCATTGGGCTAGCGCCGCTCACGCGGCTCTTGGTCCCGCCCAGACTCGTCATCGCTACCAAGCCGACCAATCACGACCATTTTGAGAGGTGCACGTCAGTGACGGCCACGGCGAAGAGCTATGCGTCAGTGCCGTACCATACGCCGGTGTTTGACGCAGAAGTATAAAACAGCCTTTAATGTCTACTGCTATGTAGAAAGTTAACACATTGAAACGATTATTTTATGTAAAACAGGCATTCACAAGGAGGCTCCAGCACACATTTAGCCTAGACATCATTTGTTATAGCCAACACACAACAGCCCTGACTCAACCGCTGACACGGTTTGTTTAAAGTAGGTGTGTGGTAAGTGAAGGGTGCCTGGAACTGCTTGAACTGAGTTTTAATTGCTGTTTTTGGAAGAAAAAAACATTACAGTCAAAAGAGGTGAAAACCTTCCTGCAGGAGTCACAGATCAGGACCGCTCGCACAGGAACCACACAAAAAGCAACGTTTGAAAAAAAAGGAGTTTCTTTGAGAAGCAGCTCTTTAAAAAGTCAGCAAAAAGCCATGGTGTGCTAACTCAGCGCAGCTCCAAACCCCTGCCCTAAAGCAGACATTACCCTGCCAAATGTGGATTCCTGGCTCCCCCCCTCTTAACCCTTCCACCAAACGCCTGAGAGTTACTCAAGAAGAAACAGGCTTTCATGTTAAAGCAATTCAAGTCACAAAGCAGACCACCATAGATAAACTGGCTTCAAGTTGTGGAATTAATGCTTGATCTCTCTTGAAGTTAACCTACTTTTGATTCCTGCTTAGTGCTTACCTCTTTGAAAAAAAAAAAAATCTCTATAAACTACTTAAAAGTTTTAACAGTGACCAATTTGTGGAATGGAAAAATATAGTCAGTCTATATTCAGCAGGAATAAATTAGTGTATGATGTATTTTCTAATGCATCAAAACTCTTGAAAACTATCATTTATTAATTTTCCTTTGGCTTAATCCTTTCTTTATTAAGGATTGCCACAGCGGAATGAACTGCCAACTACTCTGATATATGTTTTGTGTGGTTGATGCCCTTCCAGCTGCAACACAGGACTGGGAAACACCCATAAACTCTCTAAACTCACTACAGCTGACTAAGTCCATCCAAATCATCAATAGCGCATGTGTTTTGACTATGAGGGAAACCGGAGAACCCGGAGGAAACCCACACCAACACAGAAATGCCAACTGACCCAGCCGTGACTCGAACCAATGACCTTCTTGCTGTGAGGTGACAGTAATAATAATAATAATAATAATAATAAAAAATAATAATTCATCTTATTTGTAAACTGCGCCTTTCTGGACACCAATGAAAGCCAAGTTATTATGGTCAACTCTGATGTAACCCATCCTACCATGATGGTGGCTCAGTGGGTAGCACTGTCACCTCACAGCAAGAAGGTTGCTGGTTTGAGTCCTGACTGGTTCAGTTGGCATTTCTGCATGGAGATTGCATGTTCTCCCTGTGCTCGCATGGGTTTTCTCCTGATGATGATTCTGATTTTGTGACTGTATCCGTATTTTTTTTGCTGACCTGCTTCCATCATCTTTTAAAAGTGACTCGTATCCGATTGTCTGCTTTTACACAGCACATGGCAAAGGCGGAATGACCAGGAAAAAAAAAAAAAGAGCGGGCGCTGACTAACAGCTGATAATTAAAGAGCGCTTTTTTCTCTATTCCTGTAAGTAATCTGTTCGCAGCTTTTGTTAAGCTGTTTTACTATAGTTTATGGCAGAAAGGTTCTCATTTGTTCATCTTCATTGATATATGCTTTTTTTTAAACCTTTAGGCATCTTATTGTAATGTCCATGCTTTGATTTAAGCACGTGATGTATGCACTTGATTTATATTAGTTTATATTGGTTACGTGGTGGACACTGCGCTCTCTCGCTCTCGTTAACATGCTTAAATACCTGTGCTATATGACAATATACAAGCTGTTTAAGTCCTTGTGTATGAAATTTAAGGTTTGGGAGTATGTTCGGAAATGAAAGTGTCCGACTTGATGTCATTCGCTATGGTTATTATTGACACGCGACTCGCATTGACAGGTGAAAATCCGATCTACCTGCTTACACTGCAGACACGAGAACACAGATCAGATTCATATCGGATAAATTTCCGCATATGAACAAGGCCTGAATCTGATTTGAGTAAATCGGAATCCATGTGATTTGTTCCTGCTTACACGTACATGGGCTATATCTGATCGGTACCACATGGGAGAAAAATAAATAAATAAATAAATAAATTTAAAAAATCTGAATTAACTCACTTGAACAGTGCAGTGTAAATGCGGCCTAAGGCCGTACTCACACTAGGTACAGTTGCCTCGAACCGGGCCAAAGCACGCTTGTCCCCCCTCCCGTCTCCCCCGACGGCCCGCGCTCACACCATATCGGGCCTCGGCACGCTTACGTCATTGCTGCTGCGCTGTTCAGAAGCGCTCTCTATGGCAAGCCTTTTTAGCATTTAAATCTTTGTTCTGACTCCATAAATATATTTAGAGATATCTCTAATTATATTTTGACTAGTCATAATTATAATTCGACTAGTCAGAATAACAATTAGAGATATCTGCAATTACAATTGTACTAGTACGAAATCAGATATATCTGCAAATATATTATGACTAGTCATTTTCCTCCATTGACTTCCATTGAAAAATATTTGCAGATATCTCTAAATGAGTTTTGACTAGTCACAATTGTAATTAGAGATATCTCTAACTGAGTTTTTACTAGTCATACATTTGGAGATGTCTTTAATTCGTAATATTTAGAGATATTTACAAATACATTTGTAAGATATCTCTAATTAATTTACTAATAGTCGAATTACAGTTGTAGATATCTTGAATTGGATTTTTGACAAGTCAAAACTCAGTTAGAGATATCTGCAAATATTTTTCAATGGAAGTCAATGGAGGAATATGACTAGTCATAATATATTTGCAGATATCTCCAGCCTGATTTCGTACTATTACAATTGTAATTGCAGATATCTCTAATTGTCATTCTGACAAGTCGAATTATAATAATGACATGTCAAAATATATAATTATATCTCTAAATATATTTATGGATAGTCAGAACAAGGTTTAAATGTTAAAACGGCTTGCCATACGCTCTCATTCAGCAGCACAGTGGAGGTTTCTCTAGTTATATCCTTTCAGTCGTTTGTTATGCAGTGACATACAGTCAAATATTTCGCCAAACAGTCCTTAGGGATGCGGGGACACGCAGTCAGATATTTTACCGAACAGATCCGCCACTTTTGGCGCTCATCAACAATCAAAGCTCTCGTGCTGCAGGAATGAGGAGGTCTGCTGAAGGCGCGCAGCTGGCGTGCTATGAGGAGTTTGCGTCTTTAATAAACTACGGCAGTTTGCGATCACTGAACAGTAAGAATGATTAATAAATCCATATCAAACAGTCCCTTAAAAGTCACGTCTCGCTTTCGGTTTCGGGCTTTGGCGCGTTTCGCGCTCACACACAAGCGTACCGCGCCAAAGCCCAAGTGATCCGCGCTCAGGCACACCTCTTCCAACCGGGCCAGGGCCGGCCAAGTGAACCGTGCTTGAGCCCGATTCAGCGCACTCACACTTCTCAAACGATCCGGGAAACGGGCCTGGGCACGGTACGGATGGCATAGTGTGAGTAGGCCCTAAGTGACACATTGAAATATGTATGCTAAAGCAATATACTGTGCAACCCTAATGCCAACTGTTAATAACAGGTCAGATATATTTAGTTGTGTGTGCGCTTGCTTATTGACTGACTTACCCTGCAGTACTCATTGATGGGCTTCAGACGTTTCATGGCCACATCTCTGATGTGACTTCTTCTGAAGAGAATCTTTCCTGTTAGGAAATGAAGAAAAAGCGTCACAAACATGCCCTGCGTTCACCAGTTCACCACTCAAGGCAATTTTGGGAAACTTTTGGGAATCTCCCTTCGTGCTTTATGGCCGTTTTATCAGATGTCGGAAGACCACAAGCACGAAACTTGCCCAAACAAAGATTGTGGCCAATAAAACAATACCAAGAAATGAACACAAATGAGCCTCTTAAGTTTTATGAGTCACATCCTGCTGAACTTCAACCCAAGTACTGTGGTCTTTTTTAGCTGAACGTAGTAAAACGTAGAAAAAACAACAACAAGGCTATCCCACCCAAAAGCCCTAGGTCATAGAAATGGCACACTCAGTAAGAAATGAGGTTGAAAAACAGCTCAGTGTGTGATGTGGTGCATGAGTGTGAATGTGTTGGGTTAGTGCCCCGCGCCTCATGTGCTGAGTTGAGCTGAGCCCCTTCCACACAGTGATACCGGTAAATATCCGGAAAATTTCCGGAACGACTTTACCGGTATATTCAAAAAAGCGCTGTTCACACAGGCGAGGACGATACGGAATTTTTCCGGAAAAGACCGTTCACACATCCATTCCAAAATACCGGTAAATTCTGACATCATTCACCACAAATGAGCTTTAAACGGCTGCGCTTGCATTTGTAAACATTTGACTAAACTACAAACTCTGTGGATGATCAATATTGCGAACAACTTTCGCAGGATCACTTTCGCATGTCGAGATGTTCATAATATGTGTGTGTGCTGTTGCTCACAGGCTGTTTCACAGGCACACGCAAAGCTTGAAGGTAAACAAACAACGGCTTATCATAAGCATCTCATCGATGATTATTTACACAGTTGGCATTAAGAAGAACTAATAAACGTGATCTGACTAACTTCTAGCAGCTAAATGTGTCTGGAAAAATATTCAAAGGCTTTTATTCTCACAAACCGCGCGGATGTAAATGCGTCTGACTGTTGTGATTGGCTAAAGCAGACGTCTCACATCAGCACGTTCTAGACGTGCACGCGCTTATTACGGCAATCTTCCTTCTGCATTCACACAGCGCAGCATTCCGGCAAATTGCCGGTAATGTTACAACTTCTCTTTCTGGAAAATAGCCAGAATGAATTTACCGGTATTTTCAAAAAGGACCTGTTCACACATACAACCTTTCCAGAAAATTGCTAGTAATTTTCCGGAAAGGTCTGTATGTGTGAAAGGGGCTTAAGACTACAGAATACACAAGACATGTCACTTGTATAGTTTTGAATGGGGAAAAGTGTAACGGTCAATATGGTGAATGAAGCCCCGTGTACTGGTACAGGAGCCAATCAGCGATCGCTACAGACTGACATTTCTCAGAGAGAGAAGCTCAGACCAGACGTGTGCTTTTACAACACTTTTTGTGGTCAACAAACATGCTGGAATCTCAGCGAATACTTGCTTCACAGACATAAGAGCTTATTAAAGCTTGAAATCTCTACTTTTAAAAGAACCAACTACACTTGTTGTAGAAAAGATTTTTGGTTTTGTAATCTGTATGAAACAAACACAAAAGTCCGTCCTGTCAAACGCACATCACATGACGACTGCAATTACTCAAACACCAACAAACTTGTAAACAAAGAGTCACTGTCATTTCTGGAGGAGATTCACCATTTTGCTTAGAGTAAATAAATGTTTCAACCAAATTAAGTTGGAAAGGGATTATAAAGTACAATGAGTAAAACAATGTTTAATGTTTGTCTATATTAATAGTTTCATCACTTTCAATCAATATTTAAGCATGTAGAGGCCTTTTTTACAATTTATTCCTATGAAAGGCTACAGATACAGAAGTCAATATTTGAAGTGAATCATAAAAGTAATTAAATAAAAAAAGAAAAGGGATTATTGTTATTTTAGGATGACTTTGATGAAAGGTTTTGATCCGCTTCAAATGCTGACTACGGTCTACTTGCTTTATAAAAATTGTGCCATATTTAACATTACAATTACCTCAAATTTATAGTATTGACCAGTTCCCTTTGTTCTTAAATATATTACAGACAAGAAAATGTCGGCTTCCTTTTATTCAATTTATACACTCACTGGCCAATTTATTAGGCACACCTTACTAGTACCTGGTTGGATCCCCCCTTTGCCTTCACATCTGCCTTAATTCTCCATAGCATAGATTCAACAAGGTACTGGAAATATTCCTCAGAGATTTTGCTCCATATTGACATGATAGCATCAAACAGATGCTGCAGATTTGTTGGCTGCACATCCATGATGCGAATCTCCTGTTTCGCCACATCCCAAAGGAGCTCTATTGGATTGAGATCTGGTGACTGTGGAGGCCATTTGAGTACAGTGAACTCATTGTCATGTTAAAAAAAACAGTCTGAATCAATTCGCGTGCGTTATCCTGCTGGAAGTAGCCATCAGAATATGGGTACACTGTGGTCATAAAGGGATGGGCATGGTCGGCAACAATACTCAGGTAGGCGGTGGCATTGACACAATGCTCAATTGGTACTAATGGACACAAAATGTGTTAAAGAAAATCTCCCCCACACCATTACACCACCACCACCAGCCTGAACTGTTGATACAAGGCAGGATGGATCCATGCTTTCATGTTGTTGATGCCAAATTCTGACAACTATGAGCTAATATCCGAATGTCACAGCAGAAATCAAGACTCATCAGACCAGGCAACGTTTTTCCAAACTTTGATTGTCCAAATGTTGGTGAGCCTGTGCAAATTGTGGCCTCAGTTTCCTGTTCTTAACTGACAGGAGCGGCACCCAGTGTGGTCTTCTGCTGCTGTAGCCCATCTGCCTCAAGGTTGGACGTCTTGTGCGTTCAGAGATGCTCTTCTGCAAACCTCGGTTGTAACAAGTGGTTCTTTGAGCTACTCTAGCATCAACAAGGCCCACAGAACTGCCGCTCACTGAATATTTTTTTCATTTTCGGACCATTCTCTGTAAACCCTAGAGATGGTTGTGCGTGAAAATCCCAGTAGATCAGCAGTTTCTGAAAAATTCAGACCAGCCTGTCTGGCACCAACAACCATGCCACGATCAAAGTCACCTAAATCAGCTTTCTTCCTCATTCTGATGCTCAGTTTGAACTGCAGCAGATTGTCTTGACCTTGTCTACATGCCTAAATGTATTGAGTTGCAGCCATATGATTGGCTGATTAAAAATTTGCATTAACGAGCAGTTAGACAGGTGTACCTAATAAAGTGGCCAGTCAGTGTGTGTGTATGTATATATATATATATATATATAAAGCTAACATGACGTTTATGCTTTATTCCACATATAAAGGAATGCACAGACAAGCCATCCTATCTGAAGCATCACCTGTCTCCATCTTCCCAGCAGTTGTTTTTAATGGAGCTCAGCAATGACATTTTTTTGCATTCCATTAGCATGTTTACAAAGCTCACTAATGGATGTCGGGTGAACGTACACGACGCTCGGCTAATTACAGGAGTTTCTGTGTAGATTGCTGTCAAAGTGCTGTGTCAGTAAACCCAGACACTTGTTAAAAGGTTGTAAAGTACTGGTATGTAAGACAGCGTTCAGGTGCTTGAAGACTGTCTGGTACACAAGCAAACAAACCCATCATGCCTTTTAACTACAGCCAGATGTCTAATCTACACAAATGTCTTGTTTAACAGAGAGCAGGCTATTTCAACACATTTCTAAACATAATAGTTTTAATAACTCATCTCTGATAACTGATTTGTTTTATCTTTGTCATAATGACAGTAAATAACATTTTACTAGAAAATTTTAAAGCTTAAAGGGACATTTAAAGGCTTAACTAGGTTAATTAGGTCATATGATATGTGAACGACCCGTACAGATTTACTTTGACATTTCCTCGAGCGAGAATGACATTGACTGAAACTTTCTGTTGTACCCCACGCCCATCATTGGTACCCTTTTGTCAGTGGAAAGGCAAGCCTGATAAAGGTGACCCATAACGACACGTAAGGTACTGTACCATTTAGAGGAAACGGGCCATATTGCTCAACTTAACTTGAACATATGATCACATCTGCATATTCCTGTAGACCAGTGGTCTCCAAACTTGTTCCTAGAGGGCCGGTGTCCTGCAGATTTTAGCTCCAACCCTAATCAAACACACCTGAACAAGCTAATCAAGGTCTTACTAGGTATACTTGAAACATCCAGGCAGGTGTGTTGAGGCAAGATGGAGCTAAACCCTGCAGGGACACCGGCCCTTCAGGACCGAGATTGGTGACCCCTGCTGTAGACCATGACTTGAGAGAGAGAGTCTATATTAAAAGAGTTGTTTGAAAGGAATTATGTTTACCTGGTAGAAAGGGTATGATTCTGCGTTTTGGATCCTTCTGCCCACCTTCCACAGGGAATTTATCCAGAAGCTCCATCTAGATATCATTATAGAAAAATATAACATCAACATACAGTATCTGACCATTTGTTTTAGTTCTGCAACACGTCTGTGTGAACAGGATAGAATTATTGGTCACATTTTATTTTAAGGTACAATTCTCACTATTAATAAACCATTAGCTATGACTTTTAGCTCAACAAACTGGTAATTTGATGCCAATTAATAGTTAAAGTAGTTGTTGGGTTTTGGTATTTGATAGGATTGGAGATATAATAAGACCATAGAATAGTTAATAGTGAGAATTAGTCCAAATATTAAAGTATATCCAAACTTTTGATTGGATGAAAAAATATGAGTCTTCAATAAACGCCTATCAGTCACTGACTGTACATCCATTCAACAAATAGCAGTTTCTGTCTATCTGGGTTTGTATGTGTGGCCTGCTCCACACAGACCTACTGACATAATGGAACATTTTAATACCCTACACCTCCCTTTATTTACACTCTAGTCCAGAATGCCCCATAACCAGCTCTTACAGCTATAGGTTATTTTCATTCGCTGGCACCAATTAACATTTTCCTCTCAGCTGTAGAGTTCGCTTTCCCCTTATTCCAGTCCAAAAAGCAGCTGTGGACCAATGAAATCACACCTGTGCCTTTGCACAGCGCGGCGTTCATACATGCATTTTATACAATTATTCACTAATGACTATAGCAGAGCTTGAATTCATCAGCTGAGCGATGCTGCTGAAATCCGGAAGGGCTAACAATTTACCCATAATTCAAAGTGAATAGTAGAAAAAGAAATGTCATTTTTTAACCCAGGCTCCCTGGATATATGTGTGTGGTAACATCTCTGCATATTGTATGTGCTGATTTGAAATGGAATACCTAATGAATGCTCTTAAAATGTTAAAGTGGCACAATACCCAGCTGATTCAGTCATTGCCTAGCGACACAAAAAAGCCTTTTTTTCTTGTCAACAAAAAGGCAGTGTGAAACACCTCGCGTTTTGTGAATGCAAATGTGCGTTCGGTGTGATCGGCTTCATAGTTTCTGGAGGAGTTGATTAAATCGTAGAGCTAGGTGCTTCTCTGAAAGGATCAATTGGACTCAGACATGGCGCCGAACGAATCTATGCTGTTTTTCAGCCTTCCTAAAGCACAAACTCAGCTACTTTCTCAATAAAAACCACGTTAGCCATTTCGCCACGAAGCTAGAGTCACCAAGCAGACAAAAACCCTGCCATGACAATGAAGCGAGTAAACCTAAAATGTTCACGCGTCTATTTATGCGCAAATATTGCAATTTATTCTCGTGTGCGACGTCTGGTGTGAACACAGCATTAGGCTTGGATCCTAATTATGCCACTTTGACAGACTGTGGCTTTAAATTCAAATGAGATTGTGCTCTTTTCAAAAGAGGGCGGAGCAACACATGCCTGGGTCAGCATAGTGGCAGGTTCAAAAACAAGACTAACGTCCTATGCTAATAAGGGAGAGATTGTCACTAATGGGCGGGGCTTTCCCTCTTCTAATGACACGTACAAAGGGAGAATGTCAATTAAAGAAATATAATATAAAAAAATATTATATATATAATATAATAATTAAAAAAAAATTCTATTAATAATCTGCCACATTCAATTTTAATCTAAGTGACCAAAAAACAGCATTTTACCATGCTATTTTGGGAGTTTCTCCATTTGAGTCTGGTCATTTAAGTATGTAGGGTAATTAATTTAGCTCATAAATGTAATGGCGTCTTACACAGCCAGTGTAATGAGTGGCAAAAGACCGGGAGAAACTGCAGGATGTAATGTGTCTGATGTGTTTGTGAATTTAAATAAAACATCTGCACGGTCTTACAGCAGAAACTGAAAACGCACTCATGTGTTCGGTCGTAAATGCCACTGAAAGACTGCACGGCCATATTTAAACGTGAAAGCTTTGTCTTCAATCATGTCTGGTTTGAGATTAACGACAAAGCAAAGCAAGAGCGTCATTCTGCCAGACAAAGCTTTTACTGTTGTGGGCCGATTCATTAAACCGAGGAACAATGTCTTGTACTGTGACTCAGCAGCATCTGAATGACGGCACACAGATAACGCTCTTCATTTCCTCTTCCACACAAATAAATGAGCTCTGCGAGTCCATAACCGAGCAGTGTCTGCTTGCTCCCAGATTTCATTTGCTGCTTCAGTGTACAGACATTTTTCAAAAACGAGCCCTGACGTCTTCATAATGCTAAGAACTTCAGAGTAGACCAGTAGTCTCCGATATTGGCATGAGAGTTAAACTAATACCCTCGAATTTAATAATACAAATTGTACAGTCTATACAATTACAAGGCATAATACCAGTCAAAATGGCGGCATAACTACTGGTCTTGCACTAGTAAAAACACATCCTATGTATTTGATTCGAATGTCTACAACGCAGCCACATGTACTATGTTTATCAAACCACAGTCTTCTTCATGAAAATTTCGTGACAGCAGACTTGCGACAACTGACAACTCCAAAATCTTGATGGTTCTGTGGGTCTCGTCTGTCAAAGCTGATTTTTATTTTGTATTTTCTATTGGATTTGAGTCAGGTGATTGGCCGGGCCATTCTACAGCTTGATTTTCTTTTTCTGAAAGCATTTGAGAGTTTCCTTGGCTGTGTTTTGGATCATTAGCTGCGTCCCAAATGGCACACTACACACTATGCACTCATGCACTATGTACTTATGCACTTACACACTCAACAGGATAGTATATGTATGTAGTGTTGTCCCAAAAGGCACACTAATGTTTTTTACTAAGGGGAAATTCAAACCGTTTCCCTGATGACGTTTGACAGTCGCCAAATCAGTGAAATAAACGACCGAATTATCAAATAATACCTGCCGTGAGTATTGCCGCATTCACCATCGGGAGGCGCTATAATCTCTCTCTTAGGAGAATTTTGCTTTCACCATCCAAAATAAATAAAGTTATTCAACATGTGCGTCCCATAGCTCCGCCCCTTCCACTACGTAAGCAAACCTGCGGTCGTTGAGTGCGTGAAGTGTCCATCATTACACACTTCATTTTAGCGGCTGAATGAGTGCATCATCCGGGTAATTAAAGTGCACTTAATGCTTTTAGAGTTTTCAGTGTGAACACTACTTGCACCATTTATACTACAAAATGGCGTAGAATAGTGCATAAGTATGCGATTTGGGACGCAGCTATTGTCTTGCTGAAATGTCCACACTGGTTTCATCTTCATCCTCCTGCTAATGTAGATGTTGAACTGAAGCAGCTGATATTCATTTACACTGAGGAAGGGCAGAGGCATTCTAACAGTGGGCTCAATTGAAATTTGCTCTGTTTTGGAGCCAGGAGCGGCTAGGACTAGCGGAATTTCGGATGAATTGCAGTTTTAGTTACTTCCGTATTGGCTTCCTGAGGGAGAGCGGGAGGTTGCCGCTTGGTTGGAATGAGCAAGTTGGGTGATTCCCGCCCATCACCGTTTGATTGACAGAGACAACATAGCTAAAGAGAGCAGCACACAGCAGCGTGAGTGACGTAGCTCGTAAAGCGCATGGCAACATGTTTTGACACATTCAATCAGGAACCCGGTTCGAATCCAGCATCTGATGAACTCATTCCTCATACATGAGGCCTGTGGAGATTGGCTGAATGGATTCAAAAATTGTAAAGCTCAACAGTTCAACTTTAGTGGACTTGTAAAATTAGCTTATTTATCTATTTATTTTTTTAAGTGGAGTGTTAGTTTAATTGTGTGTATCAGACCCTTTAAAAAACAATTATATTTTTTGCTAAGAGTGACAAAAAGCTGAAGTTGGTTTTTATGTGTTTCAAGAAATTGAATAACCTAGCTTCCAAATTCACGAACATCTGAACAAGGCTGAGAATGAATTAATGCGTGTATATTTTAGATGTGAATTTGGCAACTGTGTTTTACTGAGAAGTTCTACTAAACATATAAATATGAATAAATCAGTAAATAAGACCAAGTGCTTTTCAAAAACACAGCAAAAGACGGTAAATCTTTCCTTCATCAGTGGACTTGAGCAACTGAGAAAGTGAAAAGCTTGCCAATAGCAAATCTCCAGTAAATGCCGTTTCTAGCTTCGATTCCTTTATTAATAAATCCACACAATCCGCCTTTCCTCTGCTCAACAAAGGGAACAACACTCCCCGCATGACATGCGTCTGTCTGATATGATTTACAGACATGCGTCTCTCTGGAATCCACATATGTTAATCACATCCATATGTCTGAGAGCCACGCCTCAGCTTGTGTTCAGCAAAACTTGAGCTGTTTGGATAAGTGAACTGCTGACGTGCAGCTGAATTAATGTTTATAATGATCTAAAAAAATGAAACTGCATCTACATGGGAATATCTTTACAAAAAAGCTTGGCTAAAAGCACTCGCACATACTGGAGCTTTTGATTTCAATGCACTATTTCTTTAGATTTCCGTACATCTAAAGAATGGAGCACTGCGGCCAACAAAAACACACTGCTTACATCTACAGACTAAAAACTTTTTATGCACCTATTTACACAACAATTGCTTTCGTTGCATGCCTAACAATTCTATACAAAACCTTAATATATAAGTCTTATTTTTATTTGATTTATTTATTGCATTTTACATTTAGCAGACGCTTTTATCCAAAGCGACTTACAAATGAGGACAAGGAAGCAATTTACACAACTATAAGGAGCAACAATGAAAAAGTGCTGTAGGCAAGTTTCAGGTATGTAAAGTGTAAGAGGTAAAACATTAGTAAAATTTTCCTATTTTTTTTATTTTATTTTATTTATTTTTTTGTAGTACAGTTGCGGAGGAGCCAGAGAGGCAATTGCAGATTAGGAAGGAAAGTGGAGACTAAATAGTTGAGTTTTTAGTCGTTTCTTGAAGACAGCGAGTGACTCTGCCGTTCTGATGCAGTTAGGGAGTTCATTCCACCAACTGGGCAGATTGAATGAGAGAGTTCGGGAAAGTGATTTCTTCCCTCTTTGGGATGGAA